GCGAGACAGAATTAAACGTATCGACCACAGTTCGATGCGTCGGCGTCACACTTCGTCTCAATTCCCCGCTCCATTAATGGAATCCCCCCCCCCCTCATTGAACTTGTACAACTCGTACATTTTTGTATCATTCGCTCAATGTCCAACTCGAGGTGAACCAGGGTAATGAATAAGGAGGTTTCCTTACACGTTTCATCATCAAGGTAAATGTTACATTATGCGTTGAAAATTGGAGTGTGTTTTGGAGTCGATTGACTCTCTGGAATCTCCACTACATTCAGACAAATATTTACTTTTTTGTGCGTGAAACATTCGCAACATTATTCAGGAGTTCAAGAGAAATCATGAATTACAACGCAAATATTTTGAATTTAAGGGGATACTACTATGAGTTTTAAAAGTCGCGGGCTATTGAAATTAGTGCAAAAAAATTCATTGTTTATTGTTTGTTTGCCCTGCAGACGTTTCAAATGTTAAAAATAGTCTAGGGCCTCCAATTGTTGAGCTACAGAGATTTTTTTTTTTAATTTTTGAAAAAAGGGGGCAATAACAATTACGAATTAGTCATTTGAAATTCAACTCCTATACGGAGCACCATTGCCATGGTGGAATTGCACCATTTCCTAGAATGCAACATTTAACTCAATTCAAGAGGGAAAAAGTATGAATTTTCATAGAATAATTGAACTGAAAAATCAAGTATTTTATGGACAATGTTTGGCGATTTCATACTGCCTTTTAATGGATTCGTGTCAAGAAGATACTCCACTTTTCGATTCGACGATCGTTGAACACGATATTGTCGTAAAAATTCCTGCACCCAATTCTCTATCATCTCTAACAATATGGATGAAACAGAAATGACACTGCGAAAATCACCCTATAAAATGGTAGAAAATTGTAAGAACACAAGTTCCCGAGTGGCGTCGGTGAGTTCTGCTGGACGACCGAACACAGTCGTCTCGACGTGTTTTTACATCCTCCTCGGATAGCAACCAATCTCGTATTTTACCTACTTGTAGGTAAGGAAAAAAATGAATGAGAAATATGTGACGATTCATTATAACTGGATGCCAAAAAGTCATCGGTGTTCCTGTGTTGTTCTTCATTGCGACTTTTATCATTCTATTTTTCACAGATGCCACGAAATCTTACGATATAATTGATTCGGTGCCAAAATTTTTTGGATTTTCAGGTAATTAATTGACTGCGGAAACCGATGTTGGGGACTGGATGGGGTCAAATTAATTGATTGTCGTACAATGGATTATATTTTTTCCTGCCAACAGTTAGAATTCTTATTGGGATATTTCTGATGATCACGACAAAAATTGAATTTTTGTCAGAGATATTAAATTTCTTTCAATTAAGTTGATCAATTTGCTATAAGTAAATCTGTTCCGCTCCAGCAAATATTCACATATAGATTTTTTCTCTTGCTGATAGGTTTCTAACAACCAGTGACATGTTCGCGAAAATGAAGAAAAAAAATCTCTGTGATGTTCACTGTTGAGCCAACGATCCAATTTGCCCAAATTTAGGCTCATTTCAATCTCCAAAAAGGACCTTCAAAATAAAAAACAATCTTTTAATTTCCCTCTAGAAATGTCATTCCATCTCCAATCAAAACCATCCATTGGGCCCTCCCGTCTATTCAGAATTGAGGTATCTCGATGAAAAAGTAGCTCCGCCAGCTCCAGACGAACGGTTTTTCACAATTTACCATGATGTTTACGAACTCAATTGGCTGACAATGGGAGCAAAAGGGGGCTAAAAAACATTTAAAGAGAGAGAATTTCATCCGACTGTTGAAAAGACTACGTTGAACTCCTTTCGAGCTCATTCCACTGTAGATAAGAGGGGGGAGAATACGGAAATTACCGTTGAGTAAATCTGACAGCTTTACAAATATGTTTTCTCATCCTTAATTGTTCTCATAATTATATATGAGATAATCTCATAATTTTAGCTATTAAGAAAGTTAAATTATTTTATTTTCCTCGGACCTAAATGCTTTGGACAGAATCATTTATATCACAGAATGCCACAGAATGGTATTCAATTCTCTTTTATTTGTTAAGCGAACTGCATGGAAATTCGATGCAAGATGATTGTACTCATGAAAACCGCCTTACTTTCTCCATTTTCGATTCAAGGTGTTGGCCGTGTTTTTTTTTTCGAAAGGATATTTTTCGATTCATCCCAACAATATTTTCGTTGACAAATAATAAAGTCATATTTATTGCGATAAAAATGTTTGAGTTATATGAAAAAAAAAAATTTTTTATTGGGAGCAAATAAATTCTATTCAGAGCAAATAATCCATTTCTCTGGATACGTTAGTCATTTGAAAAAATTCTCTTCTCGGCGTAAGCTTCCTGTAAATGCAGGAATGCGATTTTCCAAAAATAGCAGACACTCCATCCCCCGTGAGTACAATAGAAAAGGATTAGAACGGGTTATTCTCGTATCCAGGAGGAGCTAGAAATTTATCTCCAGTGGAATTTAACAGGCAAAATCCGGACGTTCTACTATATTCCATCTATTGAACGGTAGCTCCCAGTGTCTCTGGACAGTTGGACTGTCATAGAGTGAGAGCTTTCGCCAAAGTAACTGGATTATCGTGACTCCTTGAATGGAAGGAGGGACTTACTGATAACGAACCTTTACGGGGATATTCATTCTAGTTGAGTTAATTGTTCTATTTGAATGCAGATTTTATCGATGTTTGATTGAAATTTAAATGGAACTACTATCATCAATCTGAATGCCAATTCTTTTTTTCTTTGTGAAATTTCATCATCATAATTCTCTGCAAAATGTAATTTGAAGGACACTGAATATTCATGATTTTTTTCTAATTTTTCTCAGGCAATTTAATTGACAAATTTGATGATTGAAAATGGTTGAATCAATAGTATGGTCTGTACCGAATTGTAAAAGATATCTGAACATTCTTAAACCGTTTCACTGCTTCGCTACTGAGCTATTGGCATGAAAAAATTTCGCTATTCAAAAAATAAAAACCCACATGAAAAATTCACCTATAGCAGTCGAGTGCCCTCCAAAAGTCTACAAAATGCTAAGAGTCCATTGATCAAAACCCTACTCTCAAACGTGTCACGCTGCTACTCCCCCGGTAGCCCAGGTTACCCAACCCGAAGCATTTTTCACTCCGATAACTCTTATTTATGACCCAAAAAATTGGTAATGCAGTGTTACGCGATACAGAGATATGAAGATCTCCAAAGAAAACGAGGTGAACCGAGGGAGAAGGAGAAAAAGGGGCAAAAAGGGAAGTGTCCGGTGGGACTTCTGAATATGGACGAGAAGGCGATCGCTCCTAATATAGTGTCGCGCCGTGTCTTTCTCGGAGTGAAAACCAATCGACATTGACCAACGCCAGTGCCACGATTGCGCGTAACCACTGTGATGGAGCATCTCTGGGTTTTGCCTGGGACGACGAAGAATTTGTAGAAAAAAGAGCGATTTTCCATTTTTGAGGGAAGGGAGGCCCCGCCCAATATATCAGTGGAATCAACTTTTTTACGGAATATTAAAATTCTTAGGATGAAGATTGAATGCCAATTGGATAAATCCTATTCTATACGGAGAAAATTATTTGATGAATTTCAACAAACTACACTAAGAGAAAAATCGATATAATATCACAAAAATTGATTCATTCATTCAATAAAGTATCTATTTCTAGTGCAGGAGGTCGTGCAAGAAAATACGCCTTTTTATTCACCGATTTGTTTTTTTTCCTAGGCGAAAAATAATACACGTAAATGAGCATACGTAGAAGGGTACACCGCAAATAAGTCCAAAGTCTGATGAGTCGCTGATTTCATTATTTCATGCAATTGCAATTCTGAGTGTCCCTCGTTTCTCTCCTATTTCCAATGCCCGTGAGATCATGGAATTATTCGGAACTGATAGTAAGAATGAATGAAATGACTCACATGTGGAATGAATCACTTTCTATATAGAGTGTTTCGTACATACTCATAAATAACACATGATTGGCTTCGTAAATATTCGGTGACTCGTTGAGATACTCACCTGTAACAAGAACAAAAGACAAATATTAGTTGTATGTGAAACGAGGAGTAAATCATACTTAGTTACGGTTAAAACGCTACATTGAAGTGATTCCCATCCAAAATGTCGAAATAAACTCGTAATCAATACTGAAATTTCATTCCGGTGAAGAGGAAAATTTTTCTTTATAATTCTCCGAATGCAACGCCCCATCAGTATTTTATTTACAAAAGCTCAGACATTTTCGTAATATATCTCTTCCAACAGTTCTCAATTTCAAAATAAGGTGATGTACATGAGCCTTATCTAATCATGACTTAATCAGCAATTCGCATACGTAGGAACATTTCATCATGATAAATCTACTAGATTTTTTTACTCAAGTTCCACGGGGGGAATTGAAATTAAAAATTACCCTTAATTTCTGGTAAAAATGGCAATATTTTGGATAAGGACGGAAATGTTTTGATAGAATTTTAACCTCTAATATAGTAATTTCATTATAACTCTGATAAAACTTCTTGAAAGGCCAAAACATCTCTATTTGTAAAATTCACGAGTAATTTCTGATAAAAATTGTTCTTCATGTACATCAACTCTGAATTTTCTACGAAAATGCCGCACAACTAATTAACGTCCACGCGTCAGTCAACAAACCCACGATAAATCAATTAATTTTCAAACGACTATACATGTAACCAGCCCAGCATCACAACAAAGCAATGCGATCAAAATTCAATTGTCTCCTGAAATTTCATTAAAAAGCCTCTCTTCTCCCCAGCTCCATGCCTCTTTAATTCGTCTCCAGAAAATTCAATTTTATCACTTAAAATGTAGTAAATTGTGTTCACTGCCTATCAACATCAGCCGCAAACACAACTTTTGATGCTCTGAGTGATCAAATTAAAGTTGTTGAACAACTCAATTAGAATTATTTCTGTTTTTAATGAACGGACCTTCGCGAAAGTGAACTTTCCGAGTCCTCAGTTTTCCTCCTCCCTCGATCATCCCCAGATCATGAGGCCCAAGGTTCTCCCTGGATAGCGAGCTCACCAGGATACCTCTCAAGGTCGCGAGGGTGCTGCTCGGAATACCTCGATCCATCTCACCGATTCCCATATTCACTCTCCAGCACTAGCCCCATCAACGTCACTTTCCCCCACATCACCCAGCCACACATTACCACACCGATAACTCCACATAAATCAAGCACTCAGGTCTCATCGTCCAACGTGTCACTCCGAAACGTCTTCAAATAAACAACGGTGCACTCTCTCTCTCTCTCTATCCCGGTACACCTTGTCACGTGGCAGGCGTTTCACTCGGTTTATTGCCAATTATTTAGCATTTCAATTTCTCCATTCAATTGAGATAGCAATGGGGAAAGTGTCGGAACCAGGATGAACTAAAATATTGTCGAGGTTGTGAAGTGAACGACGGGAAAAGGCTAACCACAGACGGGCTCTTTGCTTTGATAGGGGCTTTGTCAACTTCTGACAGATATCTTTTTCAGAAGGTGGATAATGAGGAGAGAGAATGAGGAAAAAGAAATTTCTTCAAATACTGCTACAAATTCGAAATTTCATGAAATAAACTGTAAAGTTCACTGAAATTTTAGTGGAACTTGAACACGATAAAAATTTCAGGGTGTCACGAGAATAATTCTTTAATGGAATGAAAAATTGATATTTTATTAATTAGAAGTGAAGTTATTGTATGGACGGCGAAGCAAACGAATTCATTAATATGTAATAATTCTTCATTTGAATCAAACAAATCGTTAATGAAAAATGATAATCAAATCAAAGACCAATAAATCAATTCCAAACCGATGAATTTCCCGTTCTCCAAAAGATTGACATTATCCAAACAATCACGTTTAATAGGTGATCGAGACAATCACGCAACGACTGCATGATGAAACTGCCTCGAGATCCTCCGAGTCATTGATTATTCAGCATAACGCAAGAATGTTAAATATCAAATGACAAGGAATAGAAAACTGAAAAATAACAAAACAAACTACACATCACGACCGAGTCGGAGTATCAATTTGATCTATCATGCGAGCTTTTAATCGCTATTGTTGTGACACTAGTCAGTATCAAAATACGAGAGGAAAAAAAACGAAAGAATGCTGATAACTAATTCTGCAACACGTTTAGAATAAATTAATTATTTATTCCACATAATGAAGACATTTAAATTGAAGCATTCTATCCATCTGAACAAATGACTTGAAAAGTGTGAAATAAAAAGCCTTTCTCTGGGGGGTATAATGACATATTAAGAACATAATTCTGATAGAATTCGTCAATGTCATCCACCATGCGAAATTTTAATCACCGGCGAAATACAAGAGGAAAAAAAAAGAAGTGATAATAACTGATATACGAGCAGAACAGGGAAATGCTTTCACGGGTATAATAATCACTCCTCCGACCCAATTAGCAATCCCCTGCGACAACCTCCTCGAAAATAGCGCCGGTACACACCCCAATCAGATAACTCCGCACCCAATTAATTCAAAAATCATCACTAATTCACTGATAACAGCTGAATGAATCCAATTCAATTCCCTTAATCGTGTGAACACGTTTAGCACTGAGTGCACCATTCCTCGGTAAATAATTTCCACAAATAAACAAGAATCACTTAATCCAATGGTGAGGCGCCTGGCGAAGAGAACGTACTAACAAGCGTCAGACAAAAACGAGTGGAAGGTTGAAAAAACAACACACACACACACACACACGTGAACTCGCGTATTTCAAGGTGGGATAATAGCGCGAAGACCGACGGTAAGTGGCCCAAGTATGTGTCTTGCTGGTTGAGAACAAACTGGTGCGGGCACTCGACGATGTCCGAGAGTCTGACTGCACCTTCAAGCCAACGTGCTTTCGCACTCCCGTTTGTCGCTCATCGGCTCCTCTGGAGAGGTGTACTTGGACGATGGTGGGGAACTGAACGACTGAGTGATTTTGCTTTTTTTTTCGAGATTGGACGGAGAATGTTGGAGTGAGTGTCAATTGGAACGACAAGTCTTTCGGATTTGATTCAGTTGGTTGGGGATCTTCGCGGGTTATCGGGGACACGTCGACGCGTCATGCAGCGGTTCTGTCAGCTGATAATCATCCAGAGATTTCACAGCAAAAACCAATGTCAGAATTGCACAACCCTTTGGTAGATATTTTTCAGATACTAAAAAACACTTGTATAAAATTAAAATTTGGCTGAATTTCAAACGAGCAGGTGCCTAAACATCTTAATGCAGGTTTAACAGTCAGACGAATTTTCATTTTATTCACAAGTTTTTTAGTATCATTTTGCTCAACAATACTTTAAATTTGAATAAAAATATCGTCGTTTATCCTGCAAGAACACCAAATACTGCATTCCTATTGATTGGCAATTCAGGTGGGGGAGTAATCCAGCCGAATGCTCCTTGTGCTTCAGCATTGTCCAAAATTTTCTGCAAGTTTTTCTGCATATCAACGAGTGGGCCAAATTTGGCATTAAAGTTTTGATAAGTTTAACTGTTCGAAATACATGAAACATTTTGAAATGAGTTGAACAAGTCAATTAATAAGTATTGATTTTGATGAATATGATAAAAGTTTGACGCAACTCCATAGATGATGCGTGAGATTACGTCAGACAGCAAAAGGTGAAGTGACACTTTTATATTTCATATTCTACGGTCTTACAGTCACCTTGTCTGGACGACCTTGTAATTCCGCGATTCTATGAGAGTGAGAGTGGCTATCACACTAATCGGTAAAGAAGTAATCTCTCTCAAAGAAAAAAAAAATTTTTGATTGTCAGGAAGTCACGCATTTTTCATTCTACAAATCTATAGGCAAATATCAGTGACACACTGTTAAAAAATTTTGATTGAAATTTCCGAATTTCATGGAAAATCACTGAGAACTGGAAATTTCAATTCAACTATTTACTAGAAACTAATATATAAAATAAAATCTATTTGTAAATTTACAATTTAACGAAACACTGAATTTCCATGTTTTCATGGGAAATTAATGCTGCTCAAAAATTTGAAATTTCTTTGCAGTTCCAGGGAAATCTAAAATTTCATGATTTTTGCTTGCCGAGGGGAAGTTTTGTAATCGTCGATTTTGAATGAAATTTCAATTTTTCCCAGTGTTCAGTATCACCAGTAATTGGTGAAATGTTCCTGGAAACCAGTGACATATTCCGCAAAATAAACAAATAGAATTTCTCTTCGTCGTTTTTTTTTTCATTGCATGAAGATTGAATCAACGATTAATCATAGGGGATGACAGTAAAAGTATGCCCAGATCTAGTGCCGTTATTCCTCAGAAAATTCGGGTACTCTAGTTCAATGCATTCTCACCAGAAAAGTCCCATTAAGAGGAACTTTTACACGAACCCAGCCAACTTTCCAAACATTGAATTATCGTCTACCGGAAAATTCCTCGGTTCTTTCACCAGTGGCTTTTGTGTAGACGGTGCGGTGAGCAGTGTAGAGATCGTCGGTACGATAGTCGGTTTTGAATTTAAAATAACTGGTGACTTTCATGTGACGGAAGATCCTGGAATTAGGAGCATTTTGCCGGTTATCGATGGCCGATTGAGAATCATCGACATTAAGATGACAAATTGCACATAGGGAAGAAAAGTTTCTAGTTTTTAGGATGAAGTTATTAGTTTTCAGGAAACTCTTGCACGGATTATAATATGCATTGTCCTTTTGTTGTAACTGTTCATGTTATCTCAGAAAGAAAATCTCTAGAATTGAGCACTAAAATCTTTTTATTTTAAGTAAGCTAGGGTTTAAAAATAAGAACAAGTAGGCGAGTTCCCGGTTTAAAAATGTTGGATGAAATCTCAGATACACTTTTTGAATTACTTATCATGTTATGGATCTACTGAAATTTTAAGGAATTTCGACAATGACAATGAACAATTTTGTAAAATAATCAATGAAAGCTGTCAATTTCAGTTCAAATATCTCATAAAATAGTTTTACTCCATTGAATTTTCCGTGAAAATACCTAAATGTGGCTAATTCAATTTCAGAATACGAAAAATTATCACAATTGAAGAACGAGAATGTTCTTAACTCAAAATCCTAGCTGTTATGAAATAAAGAACTAAGATGCCCAGTGATAAAACAACAAGATTTAAAAAGTTTAAGCAAAGTCGATCGATAATTAAAAATTTATTCCGCCTAATTATTCAGAGAAAATTGCGAATAAGTGAAAATTTTACAGATTTCAGAAGAAAATGCGCATGCAGAATGTGAAGGGATATCTGTGATTATGGGATGCTGGAGTCTGGATACTTGTACGCAGACATTCCGCATGGTGAAAGTCTTACGTCAGGGCAACCTGCCCATATGTAGGGTTTGATTCGACAGCTGTCGATAGTTACGTCCAGGTAATTGATGGGGGTGAAGTAACTCGGGAGAATTTCTCCCGATTTGTTAAATGTTTAACGACTTTATAATAATTTACTTCGGGAGTCAAGGAACGGAATAAAATGATTGCACAATTATGTGAAGGAGATAGTCACATATTTGGGCAGACATTTCTTTATATTCAAGCGCACACTGTTGAAAATTTTTGTTTGAATTTTTCGTTACACTTTTTTGAAATTTTTATCGAATTTAATTACCACTTAAAATTCAAAAATCAAAGAGAACTCTAAATTTCAGTTCCATTTTTCGCTGAAAAGGAATAGAAAATCCGAAAATTCTCGTCAACATATTCTTCAATTTTCAGGACAGTGACACTGAATGCCATTTAGGGAGAAAAAATAATGAAACTTAAAATTTCATTGAAAATTCAATGTAATTTGATACTTGATATTTATATTAGATTGGAAATTCAAATAAATAAAGGAATTTTCCTCTTTATGCTGCTTAAAATTCTGGAATTTTACTGAGTTTTCAGTGAAACCTGAAGTTTTATGATTTTTTTCCCCTAAATCATATTCAGTGTCACTGTCCTGAAAATTATAAGTCAACTGTCCATGTAATTTTATTTTTTTCTAACACTGTGAGGAAAAGTTTTCCAGAAAATCACGGCGAATTTTTATGTTGGAAACATGAACGTAGAGATTTTATCTTTCGTCAGGTAAAAAATTCTAGAGTAAAAAAGACGTGCAACGGAATTTCGCTCCTCGATTACTAGAGTTTTTCAGCCATTTTTCTTCATCTTTCCTCCCCGTATTCTTCATCACTCCACTACTGCATTTATCATCTGTGACATATCTCTGTCATCAAACTCCCAATGTGAAGAACATTTTTACAGCACAAAAGTGAAATAGTCCCTTTAACTTCATAAACCCTAAGAGCTCGAAATTGAAACTATTTCTCCTCACATTTCAATTTCGTCAAATTTCATATCCTCATATGAATACGAAATCCTCTCAGGAGGAGGTAAATCCGCCGGAGAATTACCTCAGTGCTCATGTCAGGAGGCACCCCAGTGCACATATTTAATTGAAGAGTTGCCCTCCGGAAGTAGGAGTGCGCACAGTCCTTTACATCGCGTCAGGAAGACAGCAATAATTATGCGTGAGACAGTCCTCCGGCGAGTTTCCGTCAAAAAAGATGGCGGTTGTATTAGAAAAACTCACGGTTAAAAAATCCTCAAATCGGGTATATAATATTCCGGAATCAAGAATATCTGTAAGGAAGCTAGTGCATGTACTGTCCACCTACAAGGAGTCATAAACAGTTAGAATGAGTTCCTCCCTTCGAGGTGTTTACTCGAAAATGTGAAGAGGATAGATTTTTTTATCAACATTAAATATATTTAATTATGCAATTCAATTGCCATCGCCGCTGCAGAGTCTAGCAGCCCTATAGAAACCCTGGGAGGCATTATCGACAAACGCGGCGGAGGCTGATATAATAGCCAATTATTACTTATAAAAAAGGCTCGTAATGTTTAAAAATTGCAATTTTTCAATTATTTCATAAACCTTCCTCTAAATCTCAATCGGCACATTTTAATTAATGCAATCATTCTAAAATGTCCGGAAACCTATGGTCAAATGGGGCTCAAATGACAGCTCTGATGTTTGACTACAAAAGTAGAAAAACATTTCACTGGAGAAAAAATAGTCAAACTGAGACAGAAAGAACGTCTTAAATTTGGGGACTTGTATTTCAAAACATGGAAAATCTCTTGTCTATCAAACGTCTTGTTTTTAGATGAAAAAACTGTCTTATGAGCCAATTTTTTATGTCTAATGAATAGACTAGTATCAACAGTGTGTTGTATAGAAATTTGAAGAATGACCGTCCACATCAGTTGTCTGCCACGAGATCAATGAGCATGAAGGCCATCAGATTCATTTACATCATTTTTTTGTTTTAATTCTTTGGTGAAAAGATCCGGAGGATCGATTCTCACACGGCCGTGCCAATCGGTGCGTGTCCCCCCGTTGTCTTGGGGATTATTTACGATCGGCGGTCAGAGTATCGAGAGGAAACGATCCACAGAGACGAGAATGGAGGATTACGTAAAGCGATAAATATTGCAGTCTAAGCGATCTGCGACGTCAAAGGTTGAGACATTCGTCATAACAACATTCTTCTTCGAGAATTGGAATTACGTTTTTAATGATAATTGTCGCTCTCACAATCGAGAGTGCAAGCTATAAATATTTTATGTGCATTCGATTCATTTTATGATATTGTTATTGCTTTTATGGAACTATTATTTTTTTGTTCGAAAACATTTTACGTTGGTAAATTGGTAATTTTGTTATTAAGATACTTCCTCAAGCAGTTATAGTATAGGAACAGTCGACAATGCAGCGAAAATTCTTGAAATAGTCAGAAATATGTCGCCAAAAATGAGATGGAAATATCTTTTTTTTTTTTTTTTTTTTTTTT